ATTTTTATTATATATATATATATATATATATATACGTATATACACATACACACATACATACATACATACATACCTTTAAAAAAAATTAGGCATTGTTTTTAAAAAAAAATATCAAGACATATTTAAAAAAAATTGTTAGACATATCTTTTTACAAAATAATTTAGACATAATTTAGACATATTTTTACTATAAAGTGCCTCACTTACAGCACAATCACAGCTTCTCAGCCAATCAGAGCAGCCTGATCCTATCAGACTAATGCAGATGTCTGGGCTATACAATTATTTATTTATCATTTAATGTAAAGATGCTTTAAGATGAGTTGACTCACCCCTCCCCAGTTCAGTGTCCTGGCAAGGTCATTTCCTGTACCAAGAGGAAGCACAGCTACAGGAGGTTGTGGGTTCATTTGTAGTTCATCTAAGGCCGAGAGAATCCAGCCCACCTAGACAAAAGAGGACAAACCACTCAAACCCGGGGTCAGAAATGACAAAAGCGCTCAGGAAATCCAAGTTTGATCTCACTGGAGTCATAGATCTAGAAATTACCCACAAGAAAGCGTGACACTGCAAAGCACAGAGCCACCATTAGCTAATTACAGTGTTTTGTCACTGCGCGTTCGTTGTCGTTCCACACATTTGTCACCAGAGGGGGGTGCGTCCAAAATCTCTAAACTTCATCCCTGATCATCCCAACATGCATTGCAGCTTACCGTTCCATCTCCTCCACAGGCAAGGATGCGAAGATTTGGCACTTTCCTGTATAATTCCAGCCTGACGGACCGAGGGAAACAACAGTGTTGTGTGTTACTGATGCATTTGCAAGCAATTAGCATGCTAATTAACAGAATACTCCATTTAGCTTAACAAATCCAAACATAAGAGCTGTTTAAAGACCCTGAACAGTAGTTGCATGCATTAGATAATATCAAAACAAGTATCATTTTATCACAACTAACTTCACATTTCAGAGCCATTTTGCACTGATATTGGTAACACTTTACAATAAAGTTGAATTTGTTTTCGTTAGTTAATGCATTAGGCATCATGAACTAACAATATACAATACTTTTACAGCATCTATTAACGTTAATTTCTTTTTATATACCAGTACATTTAACATTACAAGTTGTGTAAGCATGTATTATGAAAGAACAGGAATAATGAACAACAATATATTTAATAATTAACCTAGATTGGTAAATGCAATATATTTATCATTAGTAAATTAGTCAAATGTTTATCATAAGTATCTAATGCATTAACTAATGCTAACAAACTTAACCTTAATGTAAAGTGGGTACTATTAGTAACGTCAGTTAATGCATTAACTAACATTAACTAACCATGAGCAATACATTTTTTACAGTATTTATTCATCTTTGTTAACATTAGTTAATAAAAACTACAACTGTTCATTGTTAGTTCATGTTAGCTCAGGTCTATTAAATAATTTTGACAGATACAGCTTAAAATGTATTAGTACATTTTGAAATTAAGATTAATAAATGCTTTAGACGTGTTTTCTAAAGCATTTTGTGGTAACACATAAGGTTCCATTTGTTAACATCAGTTAACTACATTAGTTAACAAACAACCGATAAAAATACTTCTAAAGCATTTATGAATCTTAGTTAATGTTGATTCCAATATTTACTAATACTTTATTAAAATCAAAAGTTGTATCTATTAATGTTATGTACCTGAGCTAGCATGAACCAACAATGAACAGCTGTATTTTTATTAACTAACTTTAACAAAGATGAATAAATACTGTAACACGTGTAGTGCTCATTTTAAGTTAATGTTAGTTGATGCATACATTTAGTTAACAAATGGAACCTTATTGTAAAGTGTTACCAATTTTGTCTTCATTTTCAATGTTCATTCATCATGTAAAACCTAATAAAACAATTAATTTGGGAACCATTTAGCATGAAAAATAGTTTTCTTTGAAATAAATGACACTTCATTTCATATTTTCATTTTTTCCTTCTAATGCAATGAGATTTTTAAGTGTGGATTAAATGTTTTGGGGGCCACTGCATGTGTGCGTGTTGGTTTTAATAGAGGGAGTTTAATCACAGCTCTGTCAGACAGCTCTGAAGAAAAGCCCTCCAGCCGCCCAGCTGTGTCTGCCCTCCCATCTTAATACTCTCTCTCTCTCTCTCTCTGTCAGCGGTAGAGCCCATCAGAGCCCATCGCCTGTGCTTTGCTGCCTCACGGCTCAATTACTGAGGCGAACTGAGGCATCGGGCAGCAGGGAGAGAAGCTTCTAGAACACTGAACTCCCTCACAGAACACAGCACTGCTGAGATCCAACGACTACATAATTAATGTGGTCAGGACAAAGAAATGGTGGGTTAAAGTGCATTAAGGGAGGGAGAGATGATCTGAAATGTAATGAAAGAGAGCGCTGAAATCGAGAGACTCACGCTTCTCTGGGCCCTCCCTGAGACAAATCAAACACCTGCCGAGGGTTCAGGATCCACATGAACATCTGCAGCAGCTTTGTCCCCTGAGAACCACAGACAGAAGATCAGACAGACACAACGATACACATACAGAAGGACAAATACAGTGGCAGAACGACAGAGTGACAGAAGGACATTCAGAGAGAATGACAGATAGAAGGATAGATAGAACAATAAAACGTTAGATAGAAAGATAGAATGATAGATAGAATGATAGGTAGAACGATAGAACGATAGAACGATAGATAGATAGATATATACAGTGGGTACGGAAAGTATTCAGACCCCCTTAAATTTTTCACTCTTTGTTATATTGCAGCCATTTGCTAAAATCATTTAAGTTAATTTTACGATAGAATGATAGAACGGTAGATAGATAGATAGATAGATAGACAAATTGAACGAGAAAGATAAACAGCTAAACAGAGTGATAGAACGAGAGACAGTGATTGACGACAGACAGATAGAACAACAGACAGAGTGACAGAAAACAGACAGAACAACAGCATGATAGAATGACAGAGTGACAGACAGAACAACAGACAAACAGAACAACAGACAGAGTCATAGATAGAACGACTGAGTGATACAACAACAGACATACAGAGTGACAGTTAGAATGACAGACAGATAGAACAGACATACAGAACAACACAGTGATAGATAGAACGACAGACATTTACAGAGACAACAACAGACAGATAGAACAACAGAGAGTGATAGACAGAATGGAATATTGTCAGAATGACAGACAGACTGAAGGACAGGCATAGATATAACAACAGAAAGATAGAATAACAGTCATAGAGCAACAGACAGACAGAATGATAGACAGAGTGATAGATAGAATGACAGTGACAGAACGACAGACAGATAGAACAAATCATAGAACTACAGACAGACAGAATGAGTCATAGAGCAGACAGAATGACAGTGATAGGACGACAGACAGATAGAACAACAGACAGTCATAGACAGATCAACAGACAGACAACACAGTGATAGATAAACCGACCAACAGACAGAGCAACAGACAGATAGATAGAACGACAGAGAGAGAACAACAGACAGAGTGACAGAGTGGCAGTGACAGAATGACAGACAGGCAGAGAGAGTGACAGGTAAAACGACAGACAGAAGGTGACAGTGATAGAACAACAGACAAAAAGAACAAAAGGGTCATAAATGAAACAACGGATAGATAGAATGACAGACTGAATGATAGAACGACTAAGTGATACAACGACAGACAGATAGAACAGACAGAGCAACACAGTGACAGACAGGGAGAACGTCAGACAGAGTGATAAAACAACAGACAGAACGTCAGAGTGGTAGATATATTGACAAACAAACAGAATGTTAGATAGAATGGCAGACAGACATAATGTTAGACAGAACAACAGACAGACAGATAGACAGGTAGATGGATGGACAGACACACAGACAGATGGACAGAATGGCAGAGAGGCCAACAGACTGATAGACACACAGATCTCTCGTTTAACTCTCTTCCCACACAATAAAATAAATGGACATGAAATATTGATTTCATCTAAAATTGTTTATGTAATGCATCCATTAATTTTTTAATGAAATATTTATGCTAAGTAGTCACATATTAAGCAGTTTAATGTACAGTCATTTGGTCATTATGACCCTTTCAAGGTTTATTGTTCTATAATGACTGTACATTATTCCTCCATTAGTGTCTAGATCACCTGGTTTCCGCCGCTCTTGGGGTTGACGAACACCAGCACTGGTTTCATCAGCGGTGAGGGCAGCGGCTTCAGCATGAACGGACGCCATTTCGATTCCTGCAGAAGTCACTCCATTATACTTCAATAAATGCACATTTGCACACAAATACAGACACACACACACACCACTGCAGTGAGCTGTGAGGACAGATGATCACTGAGCAGGAGTTAAGGGAAGAAAGCCCTCAGAAAACACTGTGGCATCATTTAAAAGGAGGGACAGGACAGGAATCAGATCTACTCACATCCGTCCCCTTTTTGCTGGCTCTTCTTTTGAACGACGTCCGTTTTTTCCTTCGAGTGGAGTTTTTAAATGAGCTCTGGGACACAGGAGAGAGACGCCGACTAAACCAACACATACCAAAACTAACTCCAGCAGGACTAAGTTTAGTTAAAGTTGGACAATTACTGCTAGAAATGTTTATTTTTCAATTTAAGGAAAAGTTCACCCAAAAAGGAAAACTTTTCATCACTTGTTCACCCTCATGTTGCTCAGAACCTGTTGATGAAGAAACCTGATGCAAATACGGTTCTTTTTTACCAACTATATTTAAAGTCTTCTGAAGTCATACAATGAGGAAAAGACTAAATTAACTCATTGACATTGTAAGGAAAAGAGCAGTGTAAACATACTCCAAAAAATCTTTTATATCGAAGAATAAAAAGTCATATGGGTTCAGAATGACATGAAGATGAGAAAATAATAAAAAGATTTTCCTTGGTTGAACTATTCCAAAAACACTTTGAATACAAGCAAGCAACTTCCCTTTGAGCAACTCCTGAATTGAAAGCAGCAGTTATACGCCACATTTCAAAAACCTACCCCATCGATGCATAAATCCACCAATCATAGCTGAGCGTGTCATCAGTGGGCGTGGTCTAAATATCTGCTATGACTGTTGATATGATGGGTCAGTTTTTGAATTCAATTTTGGCTTTCAAGGCAACAGATAAACTGTGATGTTAATAGTTTACATTGCAAAAAAAATTTTTTTTTTTTTTTACTCAGTATTTTTGTCTTGATTTCCTAAGCAATTCTTAGGAATTCTCAGAATTGCAACTTTTTCCGTCTCACAATTTATTATTTTTTTTTAAATTGCGAGACTTTTTTGTTGTAATTTTTTTGTTTATATCTCACAATTCAAAGGTTATATCAAGCAATTCTGTCTTTTGTAAGAATTCTGATTTTGTATCTTGCAATTCTGTTTTTTTTTTTTGCAATAGAAAAACAAATGAAAAAGCTGATTGCGACTTTTTATCTCACAATTCTGACTTTTTCACCCTTGCAATTTTAAGTTTATATCTTGCAATTCTGAATTTATATTTTGCAAGACTTGCCAGAATCTCAGTACTGCAATAAAAACGTGAAAATTCTGAGATATAAACTCAGAATTGTGAGAAAAATGTTGCAGTTATCTTTATTTTTTCATCCCATGGAGGAAACAATCTTCCATATTTTCCAGTCCAAATATCTAAACATTCTTAAATCAAGACACATTTACAAGAGGAGCAAAATTGCACAAGATATGTTTGCTTTCTGAAAATATTTTTGCTTAGAATAAGAAAAATATCTGCCAAAGTGGTAAGAAAAATAAATTTGAATTCAATATATTTATTTTTTACCCCATTTTTTCTTGTTTTAAGCATAAGTTTACTTAATTTTGCTTACTTACTTTTATATATTATTATTATTACTATTATTATTAAGAAAATACTTTAAGTCATTCTGCTTCTCATGTAAATGTTTCTTAATTTCAGAACGTTTAGATATTTGTACTGGAAAACAAGACAAAAATACTGAGTAAGAAGTAATTTTTGCAGTGTATGAAACAATGAAAGAAGCTCCATATAAAATATGTAGACGAGTTTTATGAAACACACTGTTACTGATATCAAATCTTGCAGCATCGAAGCGTATTCAAGCCGAAGCTGATCAGCATAACTGAGTGCAGAAGACAAGATCATACAGCCCAGCTTCAAAACACAGTCTAGTGTCACCTTGCATTAGCATCTCCTGCAGGACATTACATAAACCTCAGGCCCGGTCTTCTCATAAGTGCTGATAAAACTCTGATAAGATGAGCGTACCTGCGGTTTCCTGACTTTGATGATCCATGAAGGGGGTACGATGACCCCGGCGTGAGCTCCTAGAGAACAGGGCTCCTCGATCTGATGTAGCATGAAGCACGTGACCTTATTATGGAACTGATGGACAGAGAAAGAGATGAAACAAATCTGCGTTAAATAAACCAGTGAGTTAAACACTGACGTGACACTCACTGCCTGCTTGCACCAGGAGCAACTGATGGCCACAATCTCCTTGCTGTGGAAGAACTTCTGCTATTTTTCAAAATATTATTATTTTTTTAATAATTTATAATATACATTTAAATAAATGAAATCAATCCAAAAACTATATTATATATTATATTATATACATGCTATATTACCACATAGTAAATTATTCATTACATTTCCAGCAAGGCAATATATATTGTGCTATATACTGTTATCCTTTCACATCTATTCGTGCAATTGCACTGACAAATATATTTGAACACTGCAACAGCAGGAACCAACAACTCCTGATCCTAAAAACCATAGCTGCAATGCCTAGATTATACCCTCTCATCCCATTTCATCACCCTCCTGATGTCTGCTTGAAGAGACAAACGTCAGCGTTCATCTGCGGAGGGCATACTGATGACGTGCATGAGAATTACAGAGATATTTCTGCCTCCGCTCACCTTGTCCAGCTCCTCGATACACGCCGTGTGGACCACGATCTTACAGGCTGCACACTTCCTCCGGGGAGCCGACTTCTTAAAGAGAACCGAACAGCACAAAACACACAGCAATTTGTCACAAAGCCAATGCACACATCTACGATCCATCTTATTGTAAGAGGAATATGCTCTCATCTTCAGGGGTAAAAAGCTTCCTCTGAGGCAAGGAATGATTTTGCCAACTGCTTGAAGTGGCAATAATAGAGTTGCCACGGCTCTTGAAAACATCAGAGCGTGGCGCTGCGCTTTAACAAAAGCCTAACAAAATCCTTTTACCTGCTGTACATTCTCAGACTAATAGCTGCCTCTTCCTTTCAACACACACCAGCCTCACATTATCTCATGAAAGAAAATGTCACAGCTAAAACGCTCTAATGACACTCTCTTCTCTGCCTTCAGCTCGCCCTGCAAATACAGCAACCGTCTGACTTCTCTCGTCCGTTTTAACCCGTTTAACCACGTTATACTCACTGCAATCTTGACCACGCACGTCTCCTCGCCCAGGTAGCAGAGATCGCCGGAGCAATTCGTCTCCTGCCACAGGTGGTCACCGTTCACTGCGTTCTCCTGCAAAATGAGATCAAATTAAAGGTTTTGTGACTTTTAATCCATGTTTGCGTTTCATTTCCTTTGGAGATCTCATTTCAGAAAAGTAACCATTATAAAACTTGTTATTCCTGTAAATTCATGTCATTTCTTTCTTACTTTGGACTCTAATGGACTCTCTCTTCAAAGCTAACTGTGCTCTAAAGTTGTCACATTTATTGGCCGTATACATCATTGACACTCAGAAAAGTAACTGAGCATCAATAACGGCTGGCTGACAAATGTAACAACTTTAGGGCACTGTTAGCTTTGAAGTTAATCCTCCATGCTAATGCACTCTTAAATGTTCACAAAATGAGCATATATGCATTTAAAATGTACAATTTTGCTCTTTCAGGAAAACAAAACAAAAATATTCATCAAGTGCTCTCTAGAATGAAAATCCCCTTATGCTAACTGATTAGCATGTAGAAAATCATGGTTTATGGCTATTGTGACAATTTCCATGCATGCAGTTATACAAAAGCTATGTAACTTTCTTACTTGACACTCAGAAAAGCAGCGTATGTGGCTGACAAATGTGACCACTTTAGGACACAGCCTTCAAAATGAGACACAGTCCATGTCTATTAGCTTTGAAGCTATCATCTGCATGCAAATGCACTCTTGAATGTTTACAAAATTATCATATATGCATTTAAAATGGACAACTTTATTCTTTCAGGGGAAAAAAATATGATCAAATGCTCTCTAGAATGGAAAAAAAAATCCCCTCATGCCACTGATTAGCATGTAGCAAATTGTGGCTATTATGACAACCTCCATGTATACAGTTATACATATAGCTATACTTTCTTACTTTGGACTATAATGGTTACTTTTCTGAGTGTCAATAACATATGTGGCAGACAAAAGTGACAACTTGAGGGCGCAGCTTTCAAAATGAGATGTCTGATAGCTTTGAAGCTAACGTCTATATGCTAATGAACTCTTAAATTATCAGAAAATTAGCATATATGCTAATTTAAAAGTTAATTTTACTGTTTTAATAAAACAAACCGAAAGCACTGATCAAATTCTCTCTAGAAAGAAAAATCTCTTTTTAAAAATCACTTTTTTACAGTGTAGTTATGAGTTCACTCAACAGAACTGAATAATGGCATTAATGCAACTGTATTTGTTTCATAATTGAACTTGCAGTTTTAATACTGTTATTTTCTTGTTTATTACTGTGAAGCTGCTGTGAAACAATCTGTATTGTATAAAGCTAAACTAGGGTGACCCTATTTTAGTTTTCAAAAAAGAGGACAGTTTCTTTTTTTTTGTTTGTTTGTTTGTTTGCTTGTTTTGTTTTTACAATAAATAAAAAGAAAACAAGTAGATCGAATAGAAAAATAATAGGGAATGCTAGTGTTAGAGGGCCATTTTTAAATAAAAATAAAACAAGTCAATAGAACAGAAAAAGAACAGATAATGCTTGTGTTAGAAGGTCATTATTTATAATAAACAAAAAGAAAATAAGCAGAAAGAATAGAGAATGCTAGTGTTAAGGGCTCTTTTTTTCTTTTGAAATAAATCAAGTAGTTAGAATAGAAATAGAATAGAGAGTACAAATGTTAGAGGGTCAAGTTTTTTTAATAAAAAAAACAAGCAGA